TCATATTGCCAGCCTGGTCAGCTGGTGATAGTTATCATTTAAGGTACTGGACCATTGCATCTTCTATTTTAGAAGAGCAATCTGAGGGACAGAGCTGCCTAAGGTGGTGATGAGAGTGAGAGTTGAAATATGTGGGATTTTTTTCAGGTCTTGCCATCATTTTACAAAAAGAGGTCAGATCCAAAGATATAAGGAATTTATCAATGTCATTTGGCTGCTAAAGAGCTAGGATAAATATCCAAGTTTTCCACCTCCATGTCCAAGTTTTTTTTTTTCTTTTTTAAAAAATATACACACAGGGCTGGGGATGTGGCTCAAGCGGTAGCGCGCTCACCTGGCATGCATGGCGCCCGGGTTCCATCCTTAGCACCACATACAAACAAAGATGCTGTGTCTGCCGAAAACTAAAAAAAATAAATAAATATTTAAAAAATATATATACATATACAGACAACAAGGGAGGAGAGGGAAGAATAGAAGTTCATTGGACTAGACAAAGGGGAATAAAGTTAAAGGAGAGGATGAGAATAGGAAAGACAGTGGAATGCATCAGACAGAACTCTCCTATGTACTAGATGAATACGCCACCAGTGAAATGCCACATCATGTACAACCACAAGAACGGGATCCTGATTAGAATAAGTTATACTCCATGTATGTATGACATGTCAAAACCCAACTAATGTATATCTAAAAAATAAATAAACAATAAATAAAAATATTATGCTACATATTACCCTGAAATAACAAATTAACTTTCAGAAAAAATCTATATAAAATTGCAAAAGTTAACTGTGAAGATTATGGTAATTGAGGAGCAGTGAATCATTTGACTAAAAGAGTTTGGGAAATTTTCAGTTCAAGCTCAGCTTAGCAGAAACTTGAACAAACAACAGGGCTTCTCTGGGCAGAAAAAAGGGCAGGGGTAACCTAAGAAGAAGGATGAGAGGCAGAAAAGTATAAAGTATTGTTCATTAGACCAGTAATCTCAGTTGACTTGAAATCTGGATTATTCCATTTCAACTGAATGAGGCATCAGGCATTTAAGCTTCCCTGATGCGGGAATCAAGTGTTCATTGTAGAAAGACTACAGTGTTGTGGGGGTTTTGTTTATTTTTGTTTTTATTTTACTTCAAGCTTTTGTGCAGATTTCTTGGAAGAGTCAGCGAGCCATGATTGTAGAATTTAAATGGTGGACCTAAAAGTGTGATTTCTAGGCCAAATTGTGGATCACCACATTTATTCTTTACAGTCACTGAATTGCTTTTTTTTGGATGTGGGTAGATGGTGTTCAGTGCCTCAGAAATACAAATGGACTTCAGAAAGCAGTGGAGAGCAATAAGAATGAACCCAGAGACTATATGGGGACTGTTTAGGGGTAGACAGATGCTATTAAGATGTGGGTTGGTTTGGACCTAGAAGAAAATGGTGTCTGGTTGTGGGTGTTTTTTCGTTTGAACCCAGGGGCGCTTTACCACATCCCCAGCTCTTTTTTAAAAAATACTTTATTTAGAGAAAGGGTCTCACTAAGTTGCTGAGGGCTTCACTAAACTGCTGAAGCTGGCTTTGAACATGTGATCCTCCTGCTTCAGCCTCCCAAACCGCTGGCATTACAGGAGTGCACCTCTCTGGTAGGTCATTGTTAAAAGGCTCCTACCTGGGTGGGATGTGCCAGCCTTCTGATTAGGACCTGAAAAGCTGGGCCCGGCCTGCCTTTGTGACGTGGTCCACCCAGCCCCAGCCCGTAGGTCATGGCTTGGCAGATGTGGATCAAAGCCTGCTCAAAGCCAGCGGCCCCGCGGAGGGGCAAGCGGGGCCATGGCCGAGGCGGCCCAGCCCAGTGGAGAGTCCCAAGGCTCCGAAGTTAAAGCTCAGCAGCCCAAGGAAAGGGTCACATCTGGACCTGTGAGGCGGGGCCCGCGCTCCGTGCTCAAAGTGTCCCAGCTGCTGCTCCGGGCCATCACGTCGCACAAGGGGCTGACTCTGGCTGTTCTCAAGAAGGAGCTCGGAAACGCTGGCTACGAAGTGCGCAGGAAGATTGGCCGCCCCTCCGGAGAAGCCTCCAATTCTGAGGTTAAGGGCACGCTCCTGCGGGTCAGCGGCAGCGACGCCGCCGGCTACTTCAGGGTCTGGAAGATTCCGAAGCCCAAGAGAAAGTTGGGGCGCCCTAGGATGGAGGAGTACGGCCGTTCCCCCAGGAGGATCCCAGCCGGGTCCCGGAACCCGCGGAGGCGCCCCACGCGTCGCAAACAGGCGAGGAAAACCAAGGAAGCCTGGAGACCCAGGAGGGTCACCGCGAAAGCGAGAAGGGGGAGGCAAACGACCCAGGAGCCGGTGCGTGCCAGATCCAAGGAAGAAGCGGGGGTCAAGGTGATGGACGAGGGGAGAGGACGGACCCTGAAGGAGGACATCAGGCCTAGGTCACGAGAAGAGAAGAGGCCAAGCTCTAAGGTCAGAGTAGAGAGGCAGCAGGAATCCGAGAAACCGGGAAAACGGACCATCCAGAAGCCAACCGCGGTTAAAACCGACCGTACTTTTACCGGGCAGGGGAAGACGGGCATGAAGACCTGTAGTAAATCCGAAGGCCTTCGGGTTGTAACCGGGAATCCTTAATGTAGGGACGCCCTCATTTCCTACAGGCTCTAATGCCTTTCCCCATAGGCTCCAAGGAGAGCACCTCGCACTCTTAATGAACCTATTTACAAGACCTTCCCGCCTCTTTGTGTCTGTTTGCTCTTAGCCGCACCTGGAAGGGTGGATGTTAAGGTGAGACCTCTAGTGGGCACGTGAGATAGAGAGAAATTAGACTCTGACCTGTTGCAGGACCCAGAGAAGTCTCTTTTAGAAGGAAAGAAAAGAGGTAGAGGAAAGCCACCAGCTTAAAGGGGTTAGTTAGGAGTGCTGAGTTAATGATACACAACACTAGCAAATCCAAAATGAGTTTGGGGAAGGAGGGCATGTTGCCAGAAGTGTAGACAACCTTGATCCAAAGTGTTCTTACCTGAAAAAGTATTTTAAGACAAAATCCCTTCTGCCAAAATCGATTGCAATGAGTTTGTAGTTGTTGCCCTGAATTGATATCCTATTTGAATTTGAAAGTATGTCTTACATGTGAATCCTCAATTAAATGAGATGGTATGTGAAAGCATCCTGCATAGGGCTTGGCACAGGGCAGGGTGCTCATGGCTGAAGATTTAATATGTTTATAAGTAATTCCTGATGAGATTGTAATGTGCTATAGCCGAAAACTACACTGAATCAGTACTTAGTGAGACCAGGATTCTAGTCACAGTTCTCCCATTCAGACCTTAACTGCATTATTACATAAGCATTTGTGTGGTTTTACACCCCTCTGCAAAATGTTGGGATTGTGCTAGAATGATTTGAGGTGATTTAAAGTGTCAGTAAAATGATAAAGGGAACTTGATCATCATTATATATGCTTTGCTTGACAAAATTCAACAATAAGAGAGGTATCAAGTGGGCAAGTGCTAACTGCTAGAGAAGAAACCATTAAGATTTATAGAATGCATATCAGAAGTACAGGAGATAGGCAAGGCTAGATAGTGAATATCTAGTCCTTTTGCTTTTCATAAACTACATAGATGTTTTGAGCACTATGTACCAAGTGTGGAGCAAATGTATGATTTCTTTTAGTTCTAAGGCAGGGGTAAAGAATAGCAGGGGAGTAATTCTCATGTCATAAGCTGTGATAGGTCACAGAAGTGGTTTCTAGGGAAGTAAAACATACTGATTTAGGGGAAAGGACTAGCTGTTTCCAACTGAAGCCAAAGCAGTAGGGAAAATGAACACTCCTGAGAAGTGCTTCCTTTTTATTCTTGAAAAGAGGTGGGTGAGATATTTGAACCACCTAGAAGTTTTCCCCAGGATAATGTAGTATCTTCTATAAGGGGTGATGTGTGTTTCAAACAAAAAAGTGATGCTACTCTTAGCCCTCTCAAACCCTTGAGAATCACAGCCTTAAGCCTGTGCAAAGCCAAATAACAGCAAACTGCTTGAAATGTATCTCATCTAGAGATGTTCTGAACCTGGAAATTTCTGGATGCTCAAATTAAGGTTACTATGCACTTGACTGTCTATGAGTGGCAGAATGAAGCAAACAGAATCAGAAAATGAAGAGCCATCTGGGAAGAGGCAGTGAGAAAATCAAACATTGTCTATTGAACACAATTAGAACAAAGTTAATCAATGCCCTTATAGTAGGATGAATTGCCCCCTTTGAGTCCAGGGATGTTTTTACCTAAAGAACAAGGTGGTCTACAATTAGCTTTTCCTATTAAGATGAATGGGAGTGACACTGGAAACACCTTGTTTTCTAGATTTTCTAGGAATCATCACATTTGTCTTTGTATTATGTCTTCGTATTATTTGTATTATGGTTTCTTCATTTAAGCAGACTTCCATTCATTTAGTAGAACTTATCAATTAATGAAAATAGTTACCTTATATAGGAACAGAGCTCCCAGACCCTGATCTTATGTTGCTAACAATGGTCATTTTAGTTTATTTTTCATTGACCAACTCTAGAATGGCTATATTCCAACAAAATATGAAAAAACACCTTACCTCAATAGCAAGCTATCCAGATTATCTAGATCCTGATGAGAGCTGGGTACTCTGTGAATGAATCCCTAGAATAGCTAATTCTATTCCTAGTGTTCAGTCATGAATCCAAGATTCTGGAACCAGTGCTGAGAATACTAAAATGGATAAAACATATTCCCCACTTTTCTTTGGGCTTATATTTGAATGGAGTATTTGGATGTTTTAATTAGAGCAAATGTAATGTCCCTGACTGCAATTCTCTGTTTTCCTTTAACCTCAACTGCCTAGTGCTGTACCAAATAACTGTTGGACTTCAGAGTTGTAACAAACCTTAGATACTCTTAAGCATCAGATATTCAACGGTTGTTCAAAAACAGTTAACAGAAATATATATGCCCTTTAAAAATACCAAAAAATCCAAGTTAACTCATAAGAAAAGTGCAAATTAATAAGATAGAGTTTTTAATCATATGGACAAAACCTGAATGTTTGAGAATAGAGTCCATTGGTGACTGGAAAAACATTCATATTCATTACTGGTGGAAGTACAAATTGTTGCAACCCCTAATGGAAGGAAATGTCTACTGCACTACAAATGCAAATGGAATTTATCTTTTATGTGTTTATACTCTTGTGGAATGACTTATGTCCAGGGTATTTAGTGCAGCATTGCATTTAAAAAAAGAACAAAAGTATAATTAGGAGATAGGTTCTCCTAATTAGCAAAGCTTCCATATAGTGAAATAACATGTAGCTCTAAAAAGGCAAGTATTCTTTATTATGATAAGCTCCTCAAGATACAATTAGTGAAAAAGAAAAAGTTCAAGACACTTGAGTATATACTAACTTTTGAGCAAAATAAAGGGAAATCTAAATATCTCTTTGTAGACGCATAAAGAAACTATGGGAGAATATGCTGGTAAACCTAAGTGGCTCTCTATCATGAGGGGAAGGTGATAGGAATTGTAGGGAATAGATTTAAATGAGATTCTTTACTATCTTTTCTGTGTTTGTTTTCAGAAACATATAAATTGTAATTTGTTAAAAATTAAGGTAGAAATTTTCTTATAATTGTCAATTATATCTTTTTCATTTATAAGATGCTTTGTTCTACTGTATGCTTTAGTTCATCTCATTTTTCTAAGATAGGTCTTAGGTGAAAAAGTGAATGTTTTAGAAAGTGTAAAGCTTAGAAAATTGACTCTTAACTGCAAATCCAGCATTATCTCAAGTTCCAGACGTTGAATGGGGCTTCACCATCCATTCATTAGCTCCACAAGCCATCTTTTTGAATGTAGATAAAGGTCAGAAGTTCAGAATTTATTTCTACATGTTGCAGAGATTTCATGGAGATGGGGAAGATATCTCAGATTTTCAACCTGTTTTATAGAACATGCAAACATCGCCATTTATCAGTGGTCTTCAAACTATAGATTTCTTCTCTTCTTCTCTGGGGAACTTCTTACATGACAAGGGCATCTGGTCATGTTCAGCCCAAACCTATATACCTAGTAAGGACAGGAATACAGAGTTAGGATATTAACATAGGAGCACTGTGTCAAGAACGGACACAAACTGACCCCCTAAACCAGAGAATTAAAAAATTGAAGAGGGAGAGGGTGTTAACACCAGGGCTTGAATGAGAGTGAGAGAGCAGGTTGCGGGGGTAGATAGAAGGAAGTCAGGATTTCAGTAGTCCTGGTTGAGAAAACATCCCCCCCACCACCACCCAATGAAGGAACAATCACAGCTGCTGTGTTTTCTCCTTTCCCTTTTCTCAGTTCCCTTCCCTCTTACCCTTTTTAGTGATGGAAAAGATCAGGAAGTATTACTCCAAGTGGCTGGGGGGAAAGAGTGAACACCAGAAAATAAGAAAATATGTGAAGCCCCAGGCAGCAAAACAGCTTGGTAGGTGTAAGGAAAGCTGCAGAGGCATCTGAGGCTCAGCACCCACTAAGCAACAGGCTTGAAGCTCTTTACAGCCACTCCCATGGAGGAAGAGCTGTGCCTTTGGATTATGCTCATGCCCGGAAAGGAGGTCTTTGTTTGCCCGCCCCAGAGGATTGGTCAGTGAGTTAATGACCACACCCCACCCCGCCCCATCACCACAAGCCTTTCCTAGATTTCTCCCATAACCATTTCCTACCTAACCTCTCTGTACCTCAGCTGAGTGCATCTGGATGACCGTGTTCTGTCCTAACCCCATCGGTGACCGCCTCATCTGGCTCTGGAAAATACCCAGTTATTTCGAATTTACCTAAGGGGGTAAATTTGCAGTCTTCAACACAGCTACCTCAGTCTCCGCGCGGCAGCACTCCCTGTGAGCCGACCACTTGCTCAATCCCAGGGCGTGTCTCAGGTTGGGTCACCGTCAGTAACTGAGTGGGGAGCGATATTTTTGGGGACCTGACGCCAGGGAAGAGGCGGCGCGGGCCAGCCTGTTGCATCTTGAAGCTGTTTCCATAGGGCGACAGGGGCTAGTGCGGGACTCTCCTGATACCTCGCCTCTCTCACTCCCACAATGCTCCCACCAATCGCCCCCTCCCCCAGTCTTTTTTTTTTTTTTTTTTTTTTTGGCTCCGGAAAGAAGAGTGGGGAATGGAGGGAAAATTGGAGAGGACTAAGAGGAAATCGGTGATCCAGCCTCACCTCCTTATTCAACTGCCAGGAACCATACAGAGCATATTATAGATCCCCAAGGGTACATACTAAACTTGTAGGAAGTTCAGCCTTTGGAGACAGCTAACAGACTAGCAGGCACAGCCCTAGTTGGGCATACCCTGAACCTCCCCTGAAGAGGGAGCTGCGAGTGCAGGTGAGACTTGGCAGGAAAGCTTGGCTGAATAACTCGCTGAGGACAGGGGCAGGGTCTCCAGGTCTGGAACCACTAGAGCCTGGTGCATAGTAAGCACACAAAACGCTGCTTGTAGAATTAAGACAGTTTGATTCTCAGGAGCTATAGGAGACAAGTAGGAAGTAAAATAAACTAGCAAAAACCAGAAAGTGACTGGAAGCTACTTCAAGGGTTGAAGAGTCACTGGTCAAAGGAATAAGGGCCTCCATCTGTCAGTCCTAGACAGCGAGTTTGGGTGTGGTTTATGGCAGGAATGGGAATGTGTATGGGAGAGAAAGACTGGTAAGGTGGCAGCTCAGTTGCTCTAGATAAGAATAGGGAAAGGGAGTGGAAAGTCTGAGTGTGATCCCTGCTTAGTAGGTTTAACACTGATAGAAAATAAATTGGCAGGGACTACTTATTAGAAGGACCGTTGATGGATGAGCAGTGAGCCCATGATGAAATGAAACTAGAGAAGAGAGAAGCCTGAAGCTGGAAAGATGGGAGTTGGGGCAAACAAATACCCTTGAGAAGGTGCAGCATTGCTCAGGCAAAACAGAACAAAAATCAAACCAAAGAAAGCTGAGAAGTGAGAAGGAAGAGTGGAAGAGTGCTGCCTGTTGGGAGAAGGGAAATGGCAGACAACAAAAAGAGGGAGAGCCTGAAGCCTGCAGTTAAAGAAAGCTGAAGCTCTCTCTAACCTTCTATCTTAGAGAGCCTCATAGGTAGGTTTGCAATTGTCAATTCAGTCTGTTTTCATGGGTGTGTCTGGGAGAGGAACTGGAGCAGGTAGCAGGGCCAGGGCCTACAAGATAGAGCCTTTTCCACAGTCTGAATTGCATGGAATTTTCAAAGCAGGAGAATGCATTTTAGGTACCGTGGCTTAACTGATTACAATCTCTACGTAGTAAATAGAGTCTAGGATTGAACCTCACTTGTGTCACATCTCATTACAGAAGTCTAGTTCCCCTGTGTGCCCTGGGAACTATCTAATGTTCCCGATGCTCTTGCCTATGAGGTACACCAAATCATGGTTAGAAATCCTTTGTGTGGCTCTTATTGGTCCCTAATCCAATTGTGAGTTTGGAAAACCTGGGTCTTTACATGCTTAGCATCACAAGTCTCACTGTCTTGTGCTTACCTTTGTGCTGAATGCTTGATTCACCTGCCTCCAGGGCTACTTGTTAGAAGGCCTAGGGAAAAGATCAGATGACTAACAATGGAGGACTGTTTACTTGACTGTCCATTTCTCAGTTTTATGTTGGATTTTCTTTCTTTGAGTTGTTTATTCCCTCTATCCTGAGGTTTCTGGACTCAAGTTACACTGTGCTCCCAGTTTGGTGGTTGATAGTTGAGTTAGGTAGTTGTCCCTTTAGTTCCTGGAATTGGTGAATAACCCCAGTTCTTCAACTGAGGTAAGCATGGGGAAGACCCTAGAACTAAAGGGAACTGAATTGAGGACTAGCCTAGTGAGGTTGACAACAGGAGTGTGAAGATGGTGAAGTACAACTGCTTGACATGGAATTTGAATCCCCTAGCTAAAACTTAGCTTATAGTCTGGAGGGCATGCTAAAAAAACTGATTGTTGGGCTATAACCCCAGAGTTTCTGATTTAGGGATCTGAAAATTTGCAGCTGGTCTAAAGACCACATTTTAAGAACCATGGTCTGGTATACCATACAAAGAATAGAGGGAAATTTTGCCAGCTAAGGCCCTCCAAGGGATCTAAGGGAGATTTTACTTTTCTTTTATTGTTCAGCCCTACTCACCCCACCCCAACCCCATTCAATGCACCTATCTGAAAAGAGTTGGAAGAGACCTGACTTCTAACTCTCCTGGTTCTGAGTCAGGATTGACCTTGCCATGCTGTAAACAGCAAACAGTGGTTTGGTTTTATCCCCAATTATTAGCCCATTTAGCTCCCCTGAAGGCATAACATTTCTCTAACAAGGGAAAAGCATTTCTTTCCACAATTAAAGTTAGAGCTTAAAATATAAATAGCTTCAGGAAAAGCTAGCCCTTTGGGTTACATTCTCCTATGCAAGGGATCCTTTATTCCTTGGGGGTGCAAAGGGAAGGATACCTGAATTAGGGCATAGTCACCACAGATGGAAAACTGTGACAGGATCCTAAAGATACACTTCCCTGTTTTACATTTTGCCCAGAGAGAAGTCACAGACACTTTTTATTTCAAGGGAACCCGGTAGCCATGTGGCAGATGAGAATTAGGTGGAAGATGAATGTTTGAGGCTGATTCCCTGTGGGAAAAATAATTCAAATCTATTCACTCATTGAATGGCTGTTGCTTGTTTTATTTTTTGTCCAAGGGAGGTGATGTTGGACCGAGGTAGAGAAGACAATAGTACACCAGAGATGACCCAAAGGATCGCCCCTTCTGTGGAAGGCCCTTAGACTCCATGATGCCTTTCAGCTGCACCTACATTTTGGGGGCTTCACTTTCTATCCCTACAATTACTAAAACAGATAAAAGGCTGGAGGTTAACATGTAGATATTAAGATGTCTGACCTGATAGTAAGGAATACCACTTACCACAAGGGCTTAAGACCAGGTTTGTGAGAAGTTGGATTTGCTAGCATGTCAGATATTTCTTGAAAACAGAATAGAACTAAGCAATATTCTTATAGTCATTAAAGACCAGATTCTGTCCTCATACCCTGATGCTTCTAGTATCTTAGTCCTTAAAATATTTAGTGACCTTTGCCTTGTAATTCTTGACACAAATATAGAATAACCATATTGAGTCATGATAAATCCCTTTCTTTGACCACAGTTTAGGGATTCCACGGGTGGGCTCTGAATCTGCTAAATGTATATGCAAAACTATGTAAACTGTAATATGTCTATTTTTTCACAAAAGTGGGCATCTGGTTTTTACCAGATATCAAACATATCTGTGATCCAAAATAGGTTCTATTATAGAAAGCTTTATATTTGTATTAAATATTTGTATTTAAAGTATGAGAGAAAAAGAAATGGTATAGTCCAGTTTTAACACTGGAACCTAATATTTTCTTATTTTCTTGGGCATCTCCTAATACTGATTTTAAAATGCTTCTGTCCCTGAGGACCTAGGGTAAGGCCTGCTTACAGAGGGCTGGTTGGCCATTTTACTTTATTCCTAAGAACAGAAGCAAGAGAAGTGCATTCCAGGCAAAGATGGAAGGGTGCTCTCAGTAGCAAAAGAGAGATGGAGCTGAGCTACTCTTGTTTGTAGTCTTAAGAAGCCCAGTCAGCAAAATGACCCTATTTTCAATTCCACTTGAGCCCAGGACTCTGAAGAGCTGTGATTCATCCAGTTTTTCCTAAGCAAGATGGAGCAATCACTAAATTAGATTCTTGCAGCTCACTTCCTCTTGTGTTTCTGGTTAATTCCATCAACTGTGGTTAAGAAATAATTGTCTTAGGGAGAATCCAGAATCTAAGAATTAAAGAAAAAATATCACAATTTCACCCTCTTTGCTTTTCTTCCTTCCTAACTCAAACTGCTCTAACAAGATAAATTATAAGATTGGCATTAACACAATCATTAATAATGAGAAACAATGACCACCTTATCAACTAACAGATGTTAGAATATTTATACAAATCCTAGTGTGGATACCTTAGAATTCTAAGATTCACAGTATGGACACTTTTCCAGAATTGGAAGAAAAACCAGCCAGAAAGCTCATTACCCTGCATCAGCTGAAAAGTTAAGCCACAGCCTTTTCCCATAAAGTTCTGTTTCTGGGAGAATGAGATCCTCAAGGTAACTCTTCCCCCTTGATGAGGAAATCAAAGTCAAGATTAATAACAACAACTTGCAAACACTGTGATTCCTGTCCTAATTTTCCAGCACTCATAAAAGACAAGACAAAAACCCCACTCAGCACAAACCTTCTAAATGTGCCTTGCCTGAAATCAACAAGAAACAGCTCTCTGCTCTGAAGACTTCTTTCTGTCTTCTCCTGGGTAAAAACAATTTGCAACTCAGAGATTCAGACCTAGACATACAAACCCACAAATGTCTTGATCTCAGTGATACTGGGGAAAACTTTGTACACAACTTAATCCATCATTGAACCCTTTCCACTAGGGCTCCCTTTATCACGCAGATTACTTTCTATCTTGAAACAAAACAAAACAAAAATCCCCATACAATCCCCACTACCCTCATCCCCAGAACACAACCCCTAGAAAACCTAGCTTGTACAATTTGCACTTAGCATGCTCTCTTCAAGGATCCTGCACACATGTACACAGAGACACACATAAAGACACAGTCAATGGGAGAGGGGATCTGTTTGAGGGAATAGTTTTTTCTTCTGTGTGGGCCTGGATTACTTCGGGAGGTAACATCCATCTTTTAGCATTATAGCGTGATCTCTCAGCTGGAATATGTATGTGCAAGATGAAGGAAATAGGAATAGGAGGTGGAAAAGTCCTTTGTTTTTTCAGCAGGTGGCATTGAGAGGTGTAGATGTGTATATGGATGACTAAGGTAAGGGTGACAGACCCACACAGGAATAACATCTGGCCCCCTGGCTTTCACAGGGATAAAAAAGGGGACTCTGGGTGCCTGATCACAATCTCATTCCTGTTTCCTCATTACTTTCAAATTCATTGTTTACCAGAGTACATTTCATGGAGTCACCAGTTCTGTGGGATATGAAATAAAGAGGATATTGAGGTCAAGTAAGTTTAGGAAACACTGCATTAACAGTTTACTGCAGAAGCTTTCAGACCCTTTAATATGCAAAATAGTCTCTCTCTACATATATTCACAAATATATGTGTATATATAGAGAAAGAATATAATTAATACACAAGGGTGATACTCAAAAATATTTAACAAGTGGTATCGTACATTCTCCAACCAATGAGAATGGACCTCAGCCATAACTGCTGGTACCACTGTACCTTTGAGAATGGGCTCAGGCTGAATATCAGCCCACATTGTATGCATTGTTTCCCAAAATTTTGCCCAAAGAACCCTGTTTTCATGTGTTCTCACAGAACTGGTGAGAAATACTCTGGCCAATGCTGGAGCATCATTTCTCTAGGGACAGGGCCAGGGCTCATGATTCTGGCCATTGGGGTGCAGGATAGAGGCAGCCCTGGCAGTGACTACTGGTAGCACCGGCTGATAGACCTGACCATAACTGCAGCAGAGACAGATTTCAAAAGACAGATGTCCCTCGGTCCCAGCTACTTCGGGGACTTTGCCCCTGATGGGTCAGCAGATGCCTGTCCAGGTGATGTTTGCGGCCAAAGCTCTTCTCACACCGAGGGCACTGGAAGGGCTTCTCCCCGGTATGGGTCAGCCAGTGTCTCACTAGGTGGTGCCTTCGGCCAAAGCTCTTCCCACATTCAGTGCACACATGGCATTTTGGCACTGGTGGGGCACGCTGCCGTTTCCTAGCCCCAGGACTCTCTCCAACCTCTTGACCCTTGCAGGACTTGCCATCTGCATGCACTCTCTGGTGGCTGGCCAGATGGGAATTGCATCGGAAATTCTTGCCACACTCAGAACACCTGCTGGGCTTGTCATGTAGGTGGGTTTTCTGGTGCCTGATTAGGTGGTGTCTTCGTCCAAAGCTTTTCTCACACTTGAGGCAGCTATAGGGCCTCTCTCCAGTGTGTGTTTGCTGGTGCCTGGCAAGGTGGGAGCCCCACACAAACTGTTTCCCACATTGGGGGCATGTATGGGGTCTTAAGAGAGAATCCATCTCTGTGCCACATAGAAGATTTGAGAAGCTATCTTCCTGAAGAAAAGGTGGTCCTAGGAGCATTCCTCTGGAGCTCCTGGACATGGAATCCCAGTTCTCATCCTGCTCTGGATTCCAGAGAACAGTATCTTCAGACACACTAGATAACATTCTGGGAGGTTCTGCTTCTAGTTCAGGGGTATCCCCCTCATGTTCACTTCCATCTCCTGTGGAGAAGGAAAAAGAACAACCCCAAAAAGGGAGTCACAAGATAGTACCCTAGGACCTAAGCATGATGTATGATGCCAAACCTCACCCCAGGAGGGTTGAGAGGACATATTCTAATATATAAGATAGGGTGATAGGTGTAGAGGTTCTAAAAGCCTAGGCTTAAGGAGTAGATCAGCCAAGTTTTAATCTCAGCTATCCATTTAAATTCTTAAAGCCTTCATTTCCTCTTCTGCAAAACAGGAGTAAAACACCTCTCTCCCAAGGTTATTATATAATAGCATAATATCTGCACATAGTAAGCACTTAGAAAGTGGTATATGCTATTGTCATTACTTATTAGCATTATTTATCAACTACTATTTATTACTACTAATCAACATCTTCTAACCTAAATATGGATAGAGAGAATGAAGGAATGTGTTGCAATCATCAGTGTCAGCAATACTAGAGAGACATGGAAGTCATTCCTGAAATGGATAGGAGATTCAACAACAACAACATCAATAGTAACAGTAACAAACATTTACTGTGTGCTTATTACTTTCTTGGCCTTGTTATATTGTTCTAATATGTTAACATATTTAATACTCAAAATAATTTAGATAGGAAGAAACCAAGAAGAAGTCAACTATTTTTCCAAGGTTCCATGGACATTGTCCAGAATTCAAATCCTCAAAGTTTGATGCTGGACTGTCTTATAAACTTTTCTGTTACACTGATTTGCTTTTGAAGAAAAAGATCTCCAAACCTTTAAATGAGAGTAATATACAATAATGACACCCCAAGAATGGTGAAGGCAGCGGCTGAAAATCCTTTCTAGGTCCTCACCTGTATATGTGACCCTCAGGATATCCCTCTCCTCTAAGTCCTGGGGGTCAGGGACCCATTGTTCTTCTCCTCCTTCTAGTTGAGAAAGCATGTCAAGTTTAGGAATTGGAAATCCTGCCCATGGGAAAGAAAAATAGAGATGTAAGTTAGTTCAACAGTTATCCTATATTTGTGAAAAAACCTGTTTCCTAGATGATTTCTTGGAACTCTAGGAAAAAGCAGGCCAGATTCAAGCCTCTCTCTTGACTCCTACCATTTCTGTTAAGTCCCTCTTCTTTATCCTAGGAAAACACATTTTCTTTTCCAATTTAGTCTGTTATTTTCTACTCAAATTCTTCCAGCCCAAGTTCCCTTTCTGATCATAACTTCACTTTAGTCCTACTATAACTTCAGAACTTTACTTTAGTCCTACTGCAAACTGCCCCCACTCCACCCCATTCCCAGTCATGTCCTTGGAAACTGTCTTCCCCTAGATGGTTCCCAGGATTCTGAGGACCCAGTTCCAAATGTCTCTCTCTCTGCTTTGTAAGAACCACCCAATCCCAACCAAGAAGAACCTCAAGTTCTTTACTGCACAATTCAGCATTATTAAGTATTTTTTTAAAGTGATCCCTCACTTCCATTCTCTTGGGGTTAGCCCTGAGGTTCTTTCTTTGGCAGAAGCCTAGAAAGAGTCCTGAAGCAGATGGCTTTTTCTTCTCAGGGTATGATCTTTTAGTAGGTAGGGAAGATCATGCTTACTCAGAGAGACCACTATTCCACAGTTTTCTTGCATGACATATTCTCCATAAAAGTCTGTTTGAGAGGGGTCCAGGCTCCGCCACTCTTCCTGAGAGAAGCACAGTGACACATCCTTGATGGTTACCAGGCCCTGAACAAAATATAGCATCTCGGTCAGTAGCTGTCCCTTAAGGAAAATGTGATCTCAATATAAAAGGCTGATTTAGTAGAGAAGAGAGAGCAAGAGAATACCTAGGAAAAGAATTGCCTAGAGATCCCTGGGTAGGATATATGGTTTTGGTAAAGGGGAAGTGAGGAGAGGAATAAAGGTTAATGGTTAAGGAGTGAGTGAGGGTAATGTCACCAGAGAAGTTTCCCAAATAGGATCATGAGAAGTTGAGGTATCACAAACTCCTCACTCCCTCTGTCTTAATGTCTACTCAATCTCTTATCACTTGCTTTACTCTTTTTATTACAGAAATTCTGTACCATCTTCTCCTTCCTCCGTAATACCCGCCCTTTTTATGGCAACACAAAATGATAAAAATTAAACATTCTTGTTTCCCATCATGCTATACCTTTACCATTTCAGGCAGCACAGTATGATAGTTAGGCCCAGAATATGGAGCCAAATGACTCTTAGTTTTGTTACTTATACTAGCAGTATGACCTTATAAAAATACCTTAATTTCTCATTTAAAATGGGATGATTGATTTATTCTCAGAATCAAATGAGATCACACAAAGCACCCAGAGAAGAGCACAGATGATAAGCACTCTGGGAGTGTAGTAAAAACTACTACTATTATCTTTCCTTGGCTCCTCTATTGCTTTCTGAATCTATACCTATTTTCTTATCTAGCTTTGACCCTCTTTACATATTTCTTTTCTTCTTTTCCCTAAGTGCTTCATTATCTACCCAATCCTGTCTATATTCTTCCAAGCTTTACTTAGGTCTTCTCTTCCTAATATTTCCATATTTATTAATTGAATAAAGCTAATTAACTATTCTTAAAAATTCCCCTGTGGATAATAACATACCCATCCATTTAAAAACCCTATCTTTAAGAAATCACCTCTCCTTGTTGTGCCTCCATTTAATTTTCCAAGGGTATAATGTGCCCCTTGGAAAAGGATAGACTCTGTTCAGTTATAATATTAACATACAATTAGTATTCATCTGAACTAAAAAAAATCAATGGGATAATATTAAAACTATAAAACTGTTTGATGAGACCTTGAGAGAGGCCAACTTTATACATCCCACCTGTGATCCAGCTGCAAGAAGGGCAGCTGCCATCTCCCAATCTCCAGTGCTCCCCTCTTGAGGAATTGCAGGAACCCAGGGAGTAGATTGAGCTGGTAAGGGGAGAGAGGAACCATTAGAGATGAATTATCCCTCATTTTCCAATAAGTACTTCATTTTAGAGGAGCATAATGGTCTCATCTTCTCTAATATCTATGACCATTGATAAAATTAAAATGCATAAACATAGATGAAGAATCCTTCACTCAAAATGTTCTGTAAGGGCATTAGATAGCTTTTGAATTTGTATTATTTGAATGAAATTTTCATTTAGTGAAGTATTATATTACTTGGTGTGTTCTCTAATGGAAATCAGTGTTGCACTTTCTTCATCTCCCACATTCAATACCACCAATTACATACTTGCATGTGGAAGGAATAATTGTGCAAGCGACAGGAAAAGCCTAATCACATGATTGAAGAATTCATGAGTCCTGAAAGCAGGGCAAGGAAGAAAGGACTGGTTCTGGTACTGGGTATGCTGTTTAGTCCATGATAATTTGGGGATTTTAAACTCTACTCTTTGAACAGAAATTAGGAGACTACACATTGGGTTTCCCACACTGCTGTGGGCTCTCACCCTTCTCCTGAAATGACTGTGGCTCCTCTTCAAGATCACAGCATAGGTTCTCCAGTGGCCCTGGTGCTGTTCTCCATGGCCCCTCTTCCTGGCTTCCCCTTTCCATCTGGGGCTCTGTTCCATCCAGCTGTACATTCATTGACTCCCATCCTGTCCCCAGGGCTGCTGTCTGTTCTGAAAGCATTTTTGCTCCAAGCCCAACTTGTGACCTGGAACAGATCAATATTAGCTATGCCTAAGGAAGTTGTGGGGAACAGCTCCAGGGATTAATGATGAGACTGGATAAAAGGAGCTTAATGGAAGATGAACGTCAAAACTTGATGTGTTCCAATCAACTGAGTCTGAGCCGAGCATCTTGGAGGAACTAAGAAACTGGCAGGTACTGAATAGCAAAGTCACTAACTGTTATTTGGGGGCCTCATGGAAATACCAAAATATCTCTGAAGCCTGAAAGAAGAATATATTTAAAAAGAACAATCCCAGAAATTCATAAGTTATTCATTTTATTTCAACAACTGAAAGTATAGGAGAGTAGGCAATTTGGAAACATGCAGGAAGGAATGTACACAGATCTGTTCTCAACAAAATGAACGCAATCACACATAAAATTTTCTGCCATAAGTCACATTCTCATCAATTATTTCAGAATGACATCATTACTTCACATAGAAGTCCCAAACAAGTGGTGTATGTGCATTGTGAGTTCACACATCTTTTTTGAGGCTTAACCAAACAGCACCTTACTAAGACACATGATATGTTACTCTCATGTAGTAAATAAGGTAGAAAGACCAATAACTTGGAAAGCAGGTTTAAGATTCCAAAACTACCCTACTAGGTAAGAGAAATTGTTGATCAATAAGAGGCTGAAGTTTAATCAGAAAGGGTAAAAAATAACAGTAAGTTTGTTGAGGCATAGAAAAAGAGGAAGCAGTGCTTCTACAATGATCTTAGGGTGAATTAATAGCCCTGTGATTTGAGACACAGGGACAAACCTGTTTGTTTGGAAGGCACCAGTCATATCTTATTAGAAAAATAAATTCAATTTTAAAAAAGGGTATGAAGAAGCCAGTATGTATTCAATGGAACAAATTAAAGTACAGAAAAGGATAGGAAACAGTCATTGGAAAAGGCAGAACCTAGTTTTCTCTTTTTTGGAGAAGGCTGATGAATGGAGCTACTAATGCATAAAAAGAGAGGTGTTTTCTATCCCTATATGAATGGAACAGAAGAAGTGGGTTTTGATTACAAAAGAATATTTAGGTTAGATTTTTTTCTTAATTAACAATCTTGTGCACAAGACCAGGTTGTGTACTCTTCCATTCCTTAATCATCTTAAGAACAGGACAGGCTCTATTTGGGAAATAGTCTATTAGAAGACTTCACTTTAAGCCTTTCTGTTCTTGTGCTTCCTTTCTGCTTGGTAACATATTTTTGTGATACTTATTCAGTATAGAAGTAGTAAGAGGCAGAGAAAGACTTCCAAGAACAGATCAGAACCTTGGTAGATATTCTGGCTCATGCATAGCCATTCAATAACATTTGCAAGAACCAGAAGGCCAGGTTAGGTATCAACAGATGTCAAGTCATTTTTCTTTTTTCATTTTTTGCCTATTTGTCTTTAACAAAAGAGGTAGGTGGGAACCTTAAATTCAATGCAAAGGAAGAACAGATTCCCCTTTCATCTCAGAGGTCCAAAGATGGCTCGGGGCTGCATGGGAACAGAATCCTGGACAGATTCCCAGTTTAGGAGGTTTCCTTTTCAGAAACTTCCCATAAGGAAAATTCCCAATAAAGAGAAACTTCCATTTTAGTTTTCTTGTATGAATTCCTGTCCCTGTCTTCTCTTTGCTTTCATCAAAGTACCAGTTTTCCCTCTTCACTCTAAGCCTTCCTGTTCTTGTGCTCCTTCAGCAAATCCTCCTCCTAGGGTTCTGCTTCTAGCTAAATATCTGGACACCTGTCTCAAATCCTTTCCTCCTCTCCTCCAGAAGAAAAGTCTCTTGATGAGAAGCTTCTTTCTGCAGAGTATACTGGACCAATTATGAGTCTCTTGATATCACTGACAGAAAACCTATGGAAGAGCTGGCAAAAATCTCAGCAAAGGAAGGGGTGGGTACCTGTCCCTAGCTTACATTTCCTAAGATGTTCAAGGCAGAACCAGCACCTGGGCTATGAAGGGGCAGCCTTAACTTGGTTTCTCCTGGTTCCAGATAATCCCATGCCTATTGGAGTCTGAGTTCTGGGGCTTTAATTTTCCCTTTTCCTGATATAGCTGGATGACAAGGTATCTGTAGAAAGAAGTTTTTGCACCCACTGCTGTTGTACAGAAAAAGGGCCATGTTATCAAAAAGAGTGGCCCAAGGGCACTGGGACGAGTTGCGCCTGTGACTGTCAAGAAAACCTTGGCCCCTGCAACGGGTGGGGCATGGGCGGGATGGGAGCCTGTTCGGGAGTAAGGTTGCTTCTTTCCTCCTTCTTGTCACACTGCCCCTGGAGAGGGTCAGATTTCAGAGAATCCGAGCAAGGCAGAATCGGAGCGGGGGAAAGTGAGGTCAGAAAACAGGTTTCCTCTGAGCAGGGGCTTGAGCAAGTGAAGAGAAAGGGTGCCTTGGGGTAACCGGTAGGCGAGTGACAGCGACAGGAGCCTGCAGGGGCCTGACAGCGACGATGGGAACTGCGAGACGGGGCGAGGGGCGGGCACAGAATGTCAGCGGTGTCCCTCGGGAAAGACAGCGACCGGGAGGCCGCATCGTTCCTCCTCCCCGCCCCCATGGGTGACCGTGCCCCCCGGCCCCCGGGGAAGCCAGGCGACCCTCCCTCCAGCCGCGGCG